ATAAAATAATTTCTTTGTTTTTTGATTTTAATTTAGTTAGTGGGGTATTACTGTACCATTTAAAGAACTATCAATGTATACTTTGGAATAGTTTAAGTATTTCAGGCTTTCAAATGATAATATATATTAAAAAAAATTTGCCCTTAATATTGTTTCCAAAAGTTTTTATGAACAATTTAAATCTAAAGTATACAAATGAAACTGCTTACAACTGCTTACTTATTTGTTTTGTATTGTATAATCTCATGTTTGTTAATTTTTAGTTTCTTTGACAATTTTTTTTCTTATTAACTCAGAGTTTAGTATCTAATCTGTGCTATAAGACACAAGTCTCAAATGAATTTTTGCATAAAACTGAACAAATATTCTAATACCTCCAACAAAATTTAAATCTGCTATTTGCTTTAAATTTAATTTAAAATTATCATGAACTAGATTTAGTCTTGTGGTAACTATTTTCCAGAGAGACATTTTAAAATTAGCATATATTTCTGGTAGGTTAAGAATTTATACAAAATAGAAGACACATTTTTAAGATAAAAATTGGTGTCTCACAAGTGACTGAAGAATACTATGAATTAAGGAAGCAATGAGACTCAAAAAAAATGGCTAAGAAAAGTTGATCTTACTATGCTACTATTAATTTTTCATAAAAATGTCCTATAAATAAATGACTTCCATAAATGCTTGTATATTTTTACACTAGTATTAAAAAAACACACTTATGAATAAGTATCTTGATTGTATATGGGAGAAAAAATGTTTTAATACTCATTCTGATTATCTGCCAAAATTCAATTATAAATAATAATTTTGATTTCTCAGCATAAGTCAAATCTCTTCATAATATTATACCATCTATTAAACTGATCTTTCCACTTGAGATAAAGATAAAAACTCATTACAGGATAAATAATAATTATAAGCTAATGAAAGAAAAGTTGGTTTATTCGGAATACTAATTGAAATAATGAATTGATTATCAAACCTTGTATGGATGGGAAAATTTTACAAAAGCATAATCATTTAACACTCACCAGTACAAGCACAGAAGTTTTTTAAAAAAATTAGCAGCTACAAGATTAGGGAGCTCAGAAAAGAGCTCTTATATATATTAATTTAACATATGTTTAGAGAAAAATTACAAATCAATGGGTAAGGGGACACATTTAGATTAGATGTTATTAATTTGGAAAAAATTAGTGTATGTATCCAATGCATAATAAACATCAAAATAAGTAATGGGTAGATCAAAGAGTTAAAATATTTAGAAATTAAATACTAAAAAGAAAGAAAGAAAATAGACCATTTATCAAGCTTCTGGATGATAGATAACTTTTTAGGCTTAGTAGTAAAATATTTATAAAAGATATACAAATATAAATATATTCACATATCATATATATGTGTGTGTTTATGTGTTCTTTCTTTCCAAAAATAAAAAGAATGATATATTTGGTCAAACACAAATTTTTAAAAATTAAAAAAATGCACACACATAAACCAATTAAGTTTAAAACAAATTATCACTGATATAAAAGAAAGTAATAAAAGATACGAAAAAATATGTCAGAAAAGGAATTAATATTTTCAAATAGAAAACAGAGAGCTCATATAGTTTGATAATAAAAAATATCCCCAACCTGACCTAAACAAGTGGGCAAAGGATATGAACAGTTAATTCAAAAAGGGGCATTTCAAACTCAAAAATACATGAATTCGTACTCAATCTAAAAGCAAACAAGACAATTCAAAATAAAAGAACAAAATATTTTTAAAGTATTAAATATGCATTTAAAAATACTTGAACTGCTAATAAGAAATGATCATACAGAAATAGGTTCTCAGATTTTTCTGGTGGAATTATGAATTGTTTCAGTCTTTTTAGAAAGCAAATTGGCACTATGTACCAAATACTGAAAACACTGATATCCTTTAACCTAGTAATTCTGTCTTCAGGAATATATGCTTTTAAGGGTCCAAAATATGGAAAAATACATATTCAAGATGAATATCAATACACTATTTATAATATATAGATATTTTTTAAAAAACCCCGAACACCAACAAAGCCAGCTTTGGTAACTAATAGCAGAAGGATATTTAAGCAAATATTACTTAGTTAATAAATGTTACGAAAACTATTTAGTAACATAAGAAAGGTTTGACATGTTAAATGGAAAAACAAAGCATATCAAATTATCCCCATACTACGATTCTATTTTTTTTAAAGCTACTTAAATAGGGGAGAGACCGAGGAGACACTAATATGTTAACAGTGAGTATATTGGAGTGGCAGGATTCTGGTGAATTCTTTCCCTCTCTTTTCCAAATTTCTATCATATGTTATATGACCTTTATGAACAAAACAAACATTTAAAAATCAAAATAGGGCTTCCCTGGTGGCGTAGCGGTTGAGGGTCCGCCTGCCGATGCAGGGGACACGGGTTCGTGCCCCGGTCCGGGAAGATCCCACATGGCGCGGAGCAGCTGGGCCAGTGAGCCATGGCTGCTGAGCCTGCACGTCCGGAGCCTGTGCTCCGCAACGGGAGAGGCCACAACAGTGAGAGGCCCGCGTACCACAAAAAAATAAAAAATAAAAATAAAAATAATTATTAAAATTATGAATCAATCTAAGCAAATATACCTGTGCAGGGTACATAAATATACTTTGGTCACAACAAAATTTTAAACATATTTGATCATTATTGAAAACATATTCATATGAAAATATATGATAATTCTTTTGTTCACCTGGAAGCACTGTGTGAAATTTTTTTCATAAATTCCTAGCATCTTCCTTTTTCATATTTATAAATTTTAAAAGATTATTTATAAAAATAAAGCCTTGGAATATAAAATACTAATACACTGAATAACATCTCCTTGTGGATTTCTAGTATTAAAGAGGCTTCATGGGCAAAAATATAATCTTACGGTCCAACAACAATGACAAAAAAATCACAATTAAGAAAGTGCAAAACTTTAAAGTCATATGCTTATAAAAGCCCTGAAACTATCTGTATTCAAAACGAGTCATAAAATACGACTTAAGCTGACATAAATTTTATGGAACCTGGATCTCACCAGCAAGTAGATTCTCCACTACAAGGTAGTCATGTAAACTCATTCCAGGGTTCTTTGGCTCCTTCCCCTTCAGCTATTTAAAAGGTAGTTCATTTTCAAACCCCAACCTTTTAGCTATTATTTCAAAAGAGAACCAGCATGTATGCATCCTCTTAGCTGTTTATCTATATTTGTAAAAACTGTGGGAGCTGTTAGTGCATTCAGTAAATTCCTTACAGCTGGGTGCTTTTTCTTTCAATACATCGAGTTCATTTAATGTTAGATTGAGGGATTACAGTAACAAACGTATGTTTTTATGTATTACCTCAACTCATTCAGAAAATCCCTAACATATAATGCTGCAGTAGTCCTCATTTAGCGCTCATTCTTAGAGCCAGGCCAACTGGTAATTGTTTCACAGCTTTCCAGAGGGACATAAAGTATACTTAAGAACAAAGTGTCAAGCAGAATGACTTAAACAGCGCTCCTGAATTCCTACTGGCCTTTATTTAGTTTGAAACTGAGCAGTACCTCTGAGTAAACTGGAAAGGCAACAGAAAGGGGGAAAGGCCTCATCTTCCCATTGTTCTTCAATGGGTAAAAAATAAAAATCTACAGAGCAATTGATGCAGTGATCTGAAGCAGCCTTACTAAAACACCACTGTAAAGCAATTATACTCCAATAAAGATGTTTAAAAAAAAAAATCAAAGGGATAATTGTAAATGAATTTGCCTTCTACATGGAAAACAAAGAAAGCTTTAACTCAAACATCTGTAGACGTCACTTTTAAGAGAGCCAGGCCATCCAAACTATTTCAAAAATTTCTTCCAATTGCTAAGAACATAACATGTTCCAATTGCTAAGAACATAACATGTTATTTCAGGCAATGCCTTACTTACTATACATATAAACTAGTATGTGAATTTGGTGTAGTGAATCTGTGCGTTATATTTATTCTCATTTATAGGCTTCAGAATATACTTCTACTACTTTAAGCTTCATTCACATGATTAATTTAAAAAATTTTCCTGATAATTCAAATTTCATTTATCTTGGTGCTAAGCATCCTGGAAGGAATTGCAAAATTATTCTTGAAAGAAAATTAGGCCCGGTTTAGACATGATTATCAAAAATAAATTTGGCACAAAATGGAAACCACACATGGTGGAGTGTACATATGCATTTACATACATATAATTTTCTAAAGTGAGCTTTAAAAAAAACCAAAAACTTCAAACTTCAACAGACCCGTATCCTGTAAGAGTCAAATCCGAAGTTTTCTGGCTGGATTTACATGCTGATTTGTCTATAGGAGATCGTTCCCTGGCTGTCTGCATGGTTGACTTTCAACATCTAGGTCTCTGCTCAAATGCCTGCTAACTCTCGATTACTTGCATGAAAGTAAAATGGGATTCATAAAGTCCTGATTTTAGCTCTTAGCTTCTACGTCACCAGATTTACAAAAAGGGAAATGACCAGTTTAGTGTAATCCTAAAGTGATAAGCAATGGCAGAGGGGAAAAATCCCAAAGGATTATAAGGATTCAGAGCCTACCTAATTGAGAAGTGATTATAGTACATGTTGGCAAACTAGAAATAATACTTTATATCATTTTTATATGAGCTTTTTCCTGTACACACATCTCCATTTTTAAATGGAAAATTAGAATTTTGAAGTTTAAGATCCATATTTATACGTAGCCTCCTTAAATTCTGAAATGTAATGTAAGAATATACATTGTTTATATATAAAAATCTTCATTTTAGTTATGTAATGTAATTACTCTTCTAAAATGAAACAGCAAATATTCTTTTTCTCCACCTCTGCATTAAGAAAGTTATACAGAGACTTCACTTCAATATTGTAAATAGTATTGTTCAGTGATAGACAGATGCACGTGTTTGTTTCCTTCCCTCCCGAAGTTTGTCTCACCTTGCACTTCGGACACTTCTGGGCGTTCCTCTGCCCATGCTCAATTTCGCTGGCCCAGTGACGCAATAATTTGTCTCCTTTTTTGTACTCCTTGCAGTTAACACCTTCATGCCAAGGAGAGTGGCACTTAAAACACCAGACGAATTGGCAAGTGGGGCACTGGATCTGCATAAGGAAAAGTAATATTAAGTACTAGTAGATATATTAAATTGTCTAAAAAGATAAGAATGGTGATGCTTAGGGCAATTAGCTAAAAGGCTATAATTGGTCCAAATTTAAAATACCTCCCCCTATACAAAACTGAAACTAGAATAAGATATGACTGCTCTGTTACTAAAGGAGGAAAGAATTGCTTTGGCATGGGTGATCTGACTGTTTGTAGACCACACTAGAATTAAACCCTTCGGATATTCTGGAAATCAATTTGGCCTTAAGAAAACCCCCTAGATTGAAGCACAGAGTAAAATCTGAAGGCTCACAATGCCCCAGCTCCACACTCAGGCTTCTGCCCTTGAACTCGCCTGTCCCTTGAACCAATTTTCCAGGCATTTCCATCGCTCTTCTTACCAATGGCTTCATTCACTTTTATAAAATCAAAGCTCCACAGATGCTTCATCAAATGAAAAATGCACTGGCAAATAAACTACTATACCAGCATTTGCTATGATAATGGATATCCATGGTTTGCTATTAATCTAAGGGAGGTTAATTATAAAAATAATATAAAGGATCTTATTAGAAATATATACGTATGGTGGTCCTGTGGCCTGTACCTAGGAAACCATCAAAAGATGTCTTCGTATGTTCACTATGTGGAGGTGTATGTGAAAATGCATGTGTATGTTTTGAAAATATCTGTCTTCCACTTGACATGAAAGACACTTTATCTGACTTCCTGTATTTTGAATAACAGTGCAGCATCCCATTCTCTCACCATATCTCTGGTCCTCACTCTCTACAAACATATGAGCATAACTTGACTTTCCCCGTTCTGTTTGATTAAAGTGAATTAATAAAATGTCTCACTATAAACAACTGACTATTCTCTGTGCTCCTGCAAATTACTTCACTGAGCATGACTGAATTTATTGACTACACTTTGAAGATTAGTTAGAATTTCTTTTGGTTAAACTGTATACAATATCACTACTTTCTTTTTTGGAAAACCACTTTTTTGACAATGGTGGTTCCAATCTATAGATTAACTGAGTGGCAATTACAATCAGCTCTTATGTTTATACCTCAAAGCACGGCAGTATTCATCTATGTCAAGGATAGATAATGTTATTCCTATGCAAATATGAGTAACAAAAATACTTTCTCCTTTACTTTATATCAAAACAAAATAGTATTTTGTCATAAAATTCTAAAAATCTTCATGTTTATTTATTAAAATGCTGTTATATGATAATGTTTATACTGCTGCATAACATGCATAATTTATCTTTATCAATGAAATAATGCTGTAAAGTCGATATGAACATCATAAGTTTACAGATGAGGAAACTAATGCTCACAGATATTAAATAACTTGCCCAAAGAAACATAGCAAGTAAAGTTCTCTGACTTCAAGGCCAGCATTGTTTTCATTGGCCAAAACAATTCCTCATACTAAACAGCATTCTTGCTTTGATGACTGAAAACCAAAGTGTAAGGTCATGTGGTTAATCTATTCAGTAAATCAGAATTCTATACGACTATCAACATAAGGTGAATTTTGAAAATCCCTTTCAAGATTTTACTCCCATAAATTAGGAGACCCCTTATTTTTTTTTTTAAAGGATGATACTATTTAGTCATTTAAAATAGCCATTTTTGCCTTTTCTGATCATTAAAGTTAAAATAAGTTATTTTTAAAGTAAGAAGAATGAGTCGAAGCGGGTAAACTCCAGATAATAAAACAATGTAAAAAGATCACTTAAAACAATGAAGAATACATGTGAATATTACATGGAGGCCTACGTGAATGTAATTTTTGAATGTAATGAATGAAACGGGGAAGTCGAAAAGACTCACTTTTCCTCCTGCTTCTGCCACCACGTCAGAAGGCCTGGAATATTTAATTCAGTTCTCTTCTATTAGACATTATACATAATTCTAAATTACTGAACTCTAGCATTGTTAAATTAAAAAAAACCAAACCTCTGGTTTTTAATCAGTCAGTCTTAGATTATACTTATGAAATGAATAGTAGAAGAATGACTGTAATGGGGGCTTTGAAACTGGGATTAACTCAAAGGATGTCAGACATTATAATGGTTCAAGGAGCTCTGTGACCAAGTGCTGCACTATCGTATCTATGGATCTCTAATGAAGACAATTAGAAATGTAGGTTCTCCTAAGAATGATAAGGAATCTAATACTCGGTGTCCTTCCCAGGGACTCTGGCTCCCAACTTCACATAATAAACAACTAAGTTTCACTGCCGATCCTCACAGACAACACAGACTTGGTTGCAAACTATGAAAGGAGTTTTGCCGCAAGCTCTCAAGTGAAGATAAATAATTTAAATTCAGACTCGCCTGCTTACTGTCTCACTGAAAACATTAAAATAACTACTGCCTTGCTTTGGATTAAAATAAGACAAGGACTAATCACCAATCCCAACCATCTTGTTATTCAAAGACTGCACCTGAATTGTTTAAATACTGACTTTTTGGTTTGAAGATGCCTTATTCATTCCAACCGTAACCATATTCAAAATTGTAGACATGAACACTGCATCTTCCTCCACACGAAATGCCGTCTCACAGCCACAGCCCTCCCACACAGAGTGCCTGCCTCCTGAGTCATTATATTCACACAGCGGTCACCACACTCTATGCTGGCTACTCAAAGTGTAGTTGGGGAAGCGGCAGCATCGGCAACACCTGGGAGCTTGCTGGAGACAAAGAATTCATGTCACACCCCCGACCTACTGAACCAGAGCCTGCATTTTCGTCCCCCTGTTAAAGTCTGAGAGCATTGCTCTGTATCATGTGACCCCACAGCACTGGCCAAAACTGATTACACCAGGGATGAGTCCCCAGGCTAAAAGCAGGGATCTACTTGTGGGCAAGAAGCCTACGAGGTGGCCGGCAGGAGCTTTGGGCAGAGCATGTTCCTTGTTGAACAGAGATTAGCCAAGACAGATTTTCTCTCTTGAGGAATGAAAAAGGGATACACGTGCACTCTACCTTGGCTGCAGAGGCAAAGACAGAGAAAAGCTAAGTGAACACAGTGCAGGTCACTGGAGAAGGGAACAGCAGTCATTTTCACTTCTAGTAACACAACAGAGGGGCTCTCATGTCCTCAGAGCTAGTGTCTGGTTCTCCACGAGGAGGTTCTCCACGAGGAGCTGCCTGGGTGGCAGCTGAGACTGCTTTCTTGCCCTTTCTACTACTTCCCGTACAACCTTATAGTAAAACGCGTTAAGTGAGGGGGTTTGAAAGACAGCAAAGCTCTGCTTCTTGTAATTGGAGAAGGTCCAATGAACACAATCTGTCTATTGAAATCTTAACCAGATGAAATTCTACTTGCTCCAAGATGTCTTCACTATTTCTCCCAACCAGATTCAGTATCTTGCAGAACTTACATTACAGCTACATTACACGTAGCTATCTAATCTCCCTAACAGCCTACAGGTTCACTGAGGGCAAAGGCTGCTTCTCATTCACTCTGTTTCCTGAGTTAAGTAACACAGAACTTGTGGCACGTGGTAGGCACTCAGTAAGTTCTTTGTAAAATGAATTATTTTGCACAGAGCAAGTACTGCATATTGGCTAACATTACATAAATTCCAAGAAAACCCAACATGTCTAATTTATGACCAGTGGCTGAGATGGTATCATTGCTTCTTAGATTACCAAATGATGTTTACTAAATATTTTACCCACATAACATTTTACTGAACATCATGATTAATGTGCAAACTCTTCTACAAGAGGCAAGGCTACCAGTGTTTCAAAAATAAAGTTATCAGAGTTAGGAATCTTGACTAACTTGTTCTATAATCCATGAACAATAAAAGAAACTCATATTACATTTTTTTTACTTTTGAATTCCCTTAGTTTTTCTAGAATTCTGGGCTACAGTGACACTCAGATGACAAATTAAACCAACCCACTTGCCCGAAGCAAATGGTATTTTCTCTTGACAGTTCATCATGCCAATAAAGAAATAACCCACATAACAAAAACAGAATTCAAAACCAAAGAGCACCCCAAATAAGTCTTTTCTTGCCTAAATACTATACACTCCTATATTCATAATTATTTTAAATAAATCACAAAATCATTACTTATCAAACTCAAAATATTAGACAACATACTCGACAAAATCGAGTATGAATTAACTCGATTTTCCAAGAAGAATCTGCTTTATTAGAAATTCAGATTAAGACAAATAAGAATGAAACATTCATCAAATCATTTGACCATTCAACAGATACTTATTGAGCACCTTCAAGTAACAGATACTGAGTGTACTGATTTTAGGCACATCGAAAAGAATGAAAATACTGTCCTCAAAAAAATTACTGAAGGCAGACAGATATAATAAACCACAAGAGCTATAAGACCATGTAACAACTGCTAGAGGAGACGCTTGGACAAGAGCGTGCCATGAGAAATGTGCCTCAGGGAAGGCTAAAGAGTAGAAGTCAGAGAGAATACGGCCTTGGAAGATAAGTGGGATGTCACTGGGACAAGTGACAGGATAACACTTCAGGCAGAGTCCAGCCTGAGCCACCATCGAGGCCTGAGAGCACACGGTGCATTGGGGAAATAGTAAGTGCTCCAGTGGGGCCCCAGCAGAGGTGTCACCTCAGCTGGGTCAACCCTGAGCCTTGTAGACGTGCCCAAAACAGGGTCCAATTAGTCTTACATTAAGGTTCCTATACTCCTGATGTGTCTTTCAAAACACACTGTGGTCCAGAAACTTCTTATACGAACCATACAGAACTTATGGCTGTCTGACTAGTATGTCCTAAAGAAACTGATCAATATACATGTAAATAATCACGACATCTTGTAGTTATAAAAAGTTTTGTAACAACTTAAGGAGGTTTTCTTGAAGAGAAGAATATTGTGAGGAAGTGCTGGGTGTTACAGACAGGAGAAAAGAAGTCTCTTATGCGTGACTTCAAATACTTTCAAGGAAGCACGATCTGCTCCCTTATAAGATCA